CCTTTCAAGTGGAAATTGACAACGAAATACATTTTTAAAACATTTTCTGATTATGCGAAGGTTATTGGTGCAACTTGAACCGACTCAGCTTCTGTGATGAAATGAAGAGCAATAATTAGGAGGATGTTATGATGAATGCGAATCTTGATGAACTATAAATTATGGATAAAAGCAAAGACGCGCTATTATTCAACATTTCTCAATTGCACCTTACTTTCAAAGGTGATGTAGTAAGAAATAAAACTCAAACCGAAATTATGAAATGAAATGAAGTGACAATGAGAAAATGGCAAATGAACATCATTTGTGTGAAAGGGAGCTGACATGTCTGAATCAGGAAATATTTTGACCCGAAGGTTTCTGAAACGATTTTGCATGCTATCTTCAACTAATCATTTATTTACCCATTGGTAAAATTCGGTTAGAGCACTACATCGGGTCTGGCAAAAAAGCATTTGGAATAACAGGACATCATTTTGATTTTCTCTTTGTCTTCATATTCTTTTTCTTCTGCTTCTTGTCTTCTGCAATAATGAATGTGTTTCACTTTTTAGACAGCTTCCACTTTTGGATTCTAACACTATTTGTTTTAAATCCATTTATTCAACCTTAGTGTCGATATTAGAACAAAACAGGTTTACTGATAACGACAAGTTGAATTTCAAAAACGAAAAATATCTTATAATCGGTAGACAGTTAAATAACTACAGGCACAATTTTATTCGTTATCATTCAACAGTGAAATTGTTTTAACATGATTAATAGCTACTTCATTAGAGAAATTCATTGAGCTTTCAGTAATGTTCTAGCAGTAAAGAAAGGTTGAGAGTGAAAAATTAGAAGAAAAAAGAATTTTCAAGTTTGGAGAGTCCTATTTTCAGAAATGTATAAATTGAAACCGAATTTGAGGCTGGATTTCAATATACGAAACCTGCACATAATTTGTTACTTAGATCCATAATTTGGCACTGCATAAAATATAACGTTTTTTTATTTTTTAAAATTTACCTCCATTTTGTACGTCTATTTTGAAACCATGTTTTAACTTGCATATCACTCATTTCTAACTGATTAGCCAAGTTAACTCGTTCGGTACTTGCCAAATACTTCTGTTCTAGAAATCTGCATTCCAGTGATTCCACCTCAAATTTAAAAAAGCTAAAATGATTTGAAAAATGTTCAACAGATAATATCGATTAGGGGAATGAATTATAATATATACACGCAAATAATAAGTAACAACGGAATAAGGAATATTCACGGTGACACGCTTATTTGATCGATATAATTAACACAGTACGGAGTAAAATATTCAAAAGCATCAAATAGCTTAAATTAAGTAAATGTCAGTTGAAGAATACCTATAGCAAATTTATCATTTTAGTGGGAGAGGTTATTAAAACAAACTGTTCAGTGATTTCGATTTGTGCTTTTCTTGCTGAAGTATTTTTTTTTTTCTGCACTGACCAATAGTAGAAACCTGGGCTTGTAGCGCGCCGCAAATCCGATACTTTTAAAATAGCCATTTTCAAGCCTTCATTTTTTTTTTCTGGATCTTTGATTTTATCTGGCCAATACTTTGCAGATTTTCAGTTCATTATCAGCTTCTGAGGATATGTTACTTTGTATTGACACTCTTGTTTAATGTGATTTGCGTAGAAAAGGCAACGTTATGAAAGGTGACTATGAGAAATTTTGCAAGATTTTTTTTTTATTAAAAGGATATGCGGAAGATTAAGTTCAAAATATATAATATTAAGAGGGAAAAACAGACCTGTTTTTTGGTGAAGGACGTACGCGGTTTCTTATGTCCTGCTACAATTTGACTCTGGTTAGAATGTCCGGTACGCCGTGGTGTTGTAGAACCATTTCGTCGATTCATTTTTTGTGGCTTTGCTAAATTGTTTCTTATATTACCAAAAGTCGCGGATCCGAGAGAAGCAATAATCATTGGAAAAGATAAAGGATTTTTAGCTGAACAGAATTCACCATGTTCATGATTTACATTAACATGTGATACAGTTTGTTTGATACCAGAATTTTGTATAATTTTAGAATCAGCCAAGTTAGAATTGAAGGAAAAAAACGGCTGATATGACGAATTTGCAGACAACTTTCCAAATTTTACACCGAACAGATTGGGCACGTCACCAAATTTGCTAGGCTGAGCAAGTTGATTCGGCATAGCTACTGAAGTAGAAGCAAATCCGTATCGTATCGGTGAATACTGTGTGGAAAAAGGAAAATGGGGACAATAGTTCTGAACTTCTGGGCTGGAAACTAATATTGGATAATAGATAAATTTGCAGCGATTAACAGAAGGCAGTACAGATGTAATTTCGAATGTAGCAGCCTTTATGCTTTGAAAAGAAAAGTGATGCGGAATTATGGAGTTAATATCAGCATATTCAGGTAAGCAGCTCTTATCGTAGCTATTTCGTGGAAGGTCATTCTCGGAAATTGGTCGCTCCCATTGGGGAATTTTGTATTGTTCATCATCATCACCCAAAATGGTTTGGATAGCGAACGGTAATTTATTGGTTGATATGGTAGCAATGGACATAATAGGAAATACTGGAATAAAGTCAAAACAAGATAAATCTAGAAATGATACGATCTAAATACGTGGCTAAAGAATGAAAAGTATTAAATAAGAAAAAACATATCACAAATGAATTAATTTACACAAATAAATTTACACAAATGAATTAATTTAATTTACAACTGATCAATTTTTTAAATAATACCTTAATTGTTCACTTTGTCATCTATCACCCGAAATAGAACGGAAGAAATGTTAAACAAAACTTTTTTTCCCAAACTTTCTATATTTTTCATCAAGTCAAAAGTGAGAATTAATTAGTGCAACTTGAGATGATTTGTAATTTCATTTTTTTTTTACGAAAATTAGAATATATTTCACTTTTTTTCCCTTTGTTTTTAAATTTGCGAAAGTTGGAATGTATTTTACCAAAATTCAAAAGTGGGCTATCATAAAGAATGTCTGGCGCAATATTTCATACTTTATATCACGAGCAGTGAATGATGAAATCAAATAAACAGAGAGCGTTATATTTCAAAAGCTTGTTAAAGAAAGTTTGAAACTGAAATAGAAACTGCAGCATCCAGTTAACGCGTACATATTAAATACAGTGGTTGCTGTTTTACATAAGCGAGGAATATGGACTCCATTGAGACAGTTAACTTATATAACAAGCAATTTGTCCCCAACATCCGCTCTTCTAAGCAGCTATCCATTTCACGAAATTAAGTTCAGTTTAATGTATGTTAATAGCTGCCACCTATGGACCATTGCATCAACATTTCTGATATCACAATCTTTCCGCTGTTATTTATCAATCTTATAAATGTCGCCCAATTTTAGCGTTTCAAACAGAAAGTGAAAAAGGTTCAAAAGATGCAACAAAATAGAAAAATGATTAGTTCTACAAAATAAAAACAGGAATATATATATATATATATATATGTTTACTATGCTTACAGTATTTGTTGTTCTCAAAGTTTTATTATGTTTGCTCAAATAACAGTCGACATCGTTTTTGTTACAGCTAGTCGTGTGAACAACTAGTAATTTCAAACTGCTTCTTATTTTGTGAAACTCTCAGCTTTGTCTATTTTATAACACTTTTATTCTTGTTCAAAAGCGGAAATATGTGAAACAAGGAAATTAGATTTCAAATATTGCTCTCAACAACTGAATTTTTTTTGAAATTATGCAAGTGGAGAGATTTTTGACATCAATTGAGTATATTACCTTGTAGTGTTTATCTTAGTTTTTAGTCATCAAGCTTTTCTTAAAGTTAATTGGACAGCTTTAATGAAAAATTGGTTCAACGAGTAGTTTCAAAAAAGGTTTGAATTAATCTTTTAGTTCAAAGACCAAAACATTTGGTTGTGATTTATGGATTTTTTTTATTACTCTCCCCTAAAAGAGGCTATTTGCTAGTTATCTCTTTTCCATCTTTACACAATTTGTAAGACTTGGAATATTTTCAGAACTAAGCAAGATCTGTTTTGGATAACAATCTAGTAAGGTAAAATGGGGGTTAGAAGCAGTTAAACTGTCATCCTATTCATCATATTTCCGAAAATATCCCAAGTCTTACAAATTATTTAGGGAAGATAGTGTAGCATTGAAGTTTGCATCACAATTAATGTCAGAGATGAATACATTTTATCGATAAATAAATCATTTATCACATGGAAACATGGACTGTCACTCATTCATTTAGGCCAATATGAGAGTAATGATGTAATTCAAACTGAGCATATCACTAAAATGGACCGGGACAGAAGCAGAATGTGTCCTCGGAAACATCAAGGCCTTACCAAGAGATGAACTAAAAGAATGGTTTGAAGACTTCTTTGCCAGTGTGTTTTGAAGGCCTTTATTCAACCTTCTTTGACATGTAGTTGTATAACAATTAGGAGACATATAAATTGTCCTAATGATTTTAATAGTTTGAATGAGAATTTGAGGGCAATTAAGGTTCCAAAAATGAAATTATATATTAGTAGTAATTTGAAAATTAATGAAAATCGGTGAAATAATCATTAACCAGTGAAAAATAGTAAAGCAAGTGTTAAGAAAAAATTAAATCATTTTATATGAATGAGACAAATGTATAGCTGAATTTGTGATGGGAACACACACAAAAACTTCACAAAGAAAAGGAATTAAGAGGTGGTAGTGCATGTCTTCGGATTTGGAAAAACTAAGGAAGAAACAAGTCTGGAAAGAGAGAACATTCCATGTCACACATTTAAATCATGTATGCATTGTGAAGATTTTATGACGAGAATTTTATAGAAAAAGCTGAAACAATCTGTAAAGATGGCAGTTTTGTAAAGGTGAAATTGCTTTATAGAGTTATGATTTTAGAAAAGCTGAATTAAGGAAATGCTATAGGAAGGAGTGAAAAAAGATCTTTACAAGTGTTGGATTGTGGTCGTTATCAATGTTAGTTGTAGTTTACGATTGGTTTTGGGCAATTAAGGAACATTTAGTTGCCACTTTACTCAAGTTGTAGGCCATCGATGTCCTCTGCATGCATTCCATTTGCGAAGGAAGAGGGAGAGAAAAAGGAAAATAATTAAACAGTCAATTAAAACGGACGAACCGAAACAGAAAAAAGTAATGACTTCTACTTTCGATAACAGAAAATTAAAGTCTTTTCGGTACGTCTCAGTGAATAATCGACGAAAAAGGAACCACTTGTGGTAGTGGCTTTTAGTACTTCTTTAGTAGGAGACACGCGTGCACACCGCAATTATACCTACCGTATCGTTTAAATTGCCATCCTGTCCACAAGGCAATTCCAAATATCATACTGTAAATTCTGGAAAAATGACTATCAATAACTATCAATTCGTTTTGGCGATGCAATCGAATACTATTAGATAATCACCCTCCAACTACGTTGCTCTTTACGCACTTTTAATGCATTGGTTAGTGTGTTAAATGGAGGCCATCCTGTAGAATGTGCATTTGTTTGTCATTTTCATCTTGGATGATAGCAATCTCTAACCTCTTTCTCGACATCGTGAAGTAATTCCTTACTTTGTAAATTTTAGCTAATGATTAATTCTGTTTAGGATACCGCGATTATTCTATTCGAGGAGAAAGGTATTTGAATAGAAGAAACGTAATATTTCGAAAAATCACCGGATGAAATCCGCCACTGTTATTGATGAATACCATAAAGTGCTTTAATTTAAGCTTGGAATGGGTTGCAAGTGAAAACAGTTAATTCAAAAAAAAAAAAAAAAAAAAACAACAACAATGTTATGCTGATCTTAATAACGAATCCATAAGGCTTAAAAACAAATTCTCTGATGGAAACTTATTTAATAATACAACTGCACAGTGTATTTTTCATAATTCGCTTCAAAACTTTCAGATTTTGACATAGTGCATTTATTAAATAAAAAAAATTGTTAATTGTGAATGAACCTTGCAATATTGGCGCTTAAAAAATTTTTATGAAACAGGATTGCATGTCTCACAAAATGTTATCAGTCACAATGTTGTAAGTTTTATTTTTGGCTTTAATGCCCATATTACTCTTTCTGTCAATATAATCCAACCTGTTTATAGCTTTGAGATTCCATCAAATTTTCTAAGCTTCATTTATCCGACTTAGTAGATACATATTACAGCGTACTGCAAGGTTCTCAAGAAATGAAGAATCAACGAGCCGTGCGATACGCACCAATTTTCATAGCTTTGAACGAATTGTCGACAACGACCAATGAATAATCATAACACTATTGGGTATTGTGTGATACAAAGTGATTTAATAATCCCGGTGACGGAATACAGCTCACATATTCGGAATGCTACAGACTTTTTAAGTGTTTCTGAGACAAGTAATTCAATTTTGATGCAATCAATGAAATATGTTTTTACATTTAGGTTATTTTATAGAAAATTATTCTATAGAAATAATTTTTTAGAAATAGGTTATTTTATAGAAATTTGTTCGCCTTTCTACAATTAAAAACCATAATTGAATCCGATTAAAATCGATTATATGTAAAAAGATTTCAAGTCGTCATGTATTACTGTCAAAAGGAGGTTTTGTTGAAGAGACAGCTGTCCTGATCCGACTGATCAGCAGATCCGACAATGAAGAGTTAGATTTCAACTCAACCCTCTTTTATGATTTATATCAGCAATTGAGGATTGTGATTGCAACCTATGATTCATAATTACAAAAATCAGCAAAAAAGGAAAGAACTAGTGAGGGTGAAAATGAATGATGTAATGTAAAAGAGATAAGAAATGAATTTGAATTTTATTATATTAAAAGGTGAAATTTGTTATCTTGTGGTTTTCTCCCTTGTGGTCACAGAAATGCATTTCAGATAATAAAAGGCCGTAGCCGAAGTGAAATTGTCAGCAGAGAGATGTTTTAATAGGCGTAGCATAAAGTCGACATTTAATTGAGCGAAACGAAGTAGTTGTCCAGTGTGGGGAAACATGACGGGTGTCTATCGTCATTCGTCATGTTTCACCAGTCGCAGCTGTAACTTGAGTAACCAGAGATTTGTCTCATTAATTCAAGAAGACCATTATTCACTCTTTTTTTTTCATTCTTTTACACTTCTTCCATTAAAACAATATTGTTTCCACTGGCACCCAAACGGTTCGATTCAATTAATCCAACCTTTCCGGATCATTTGATTTTTTTTCTTGTCCAGATGTTTAATTCATACTGTTTTGGATCCCATAGTTCAGTGACACTTAAGAAAATTATCAATAACAGCTGTCAGGACGATGTATTTGTTTCATTTCTCTATTTTAAGCAATTTTTCTTATTAATCTTTTGTTAATACTGTGTTGAACTTTGTCGATGCTTTTCATTCGACTTTACTAATAATTTTGTGAAGCCATAGGACTTATTCATAGTTCATGAATGAGGAGACCTTAATTTCCGATCTCTACAAATTCCATTTGGTCGGATCATAACATTATAAAGATAGTAACGACTGGATCAAAGAACGTAATATTGCACATTCTATCATAATCTAGACTCGGTTAACACTGCATAGTTTGTACCATTGGACGCTTGACAAGTGTATGGACTGAATGAAGTTCTTCGACTAGCGTCTGATTCTCAAAAGGCTAATTAATATATGTTACTGTGAACGTGCCGAAAACACTTCATAGAACGAGAACGAGAAAAACATTTCATAGAACGACTTCTTCACAGATACTATTCAGCGCTATTGACACATTTTTTTTTCTTTTTTTGTAAAGTTCTTGGAATTCTATTCAGGAAGAATATTGTCTGTTTATCCATTTGTCAACATCCTGTTGATGTGAGAGATTAAACAATTTGCAGTTCTTGAGGAGTTAACCTATCTTTTTATCTAACTGTGATTAGCTGATAAATTCGTATTCTCTGGTAATCAAATCTTGAAAGCACATATGCTAGTAAATGTGCGGACAACACTTTCTGATCATTGTAATTTTGCAGACAGTGAAATTTTCTTTCAAAATTGGAGAAATTAATTCGAAAGATGTCTAATTTATTTTACTGAAATAATGATAATCCTGACAGGTGTTATTTTCATCATATTCAGAACAAAGTGTCCAAATGGAACTAAGCATGACCCATTTTTTGACTCGTTTTCCTCGACTTATCTCTTTAACACGCATAATGAGAATAGGAAAATAATAAGTTATTAAATCAGAATTTTGTCTTTTAGATCAGTTCAATGTTGAAAAGTTTGGTTTCAGTTTGGATCAGTTAGTTAAATAGTCCGTTGGTTTAGACAGTATACGTTTGGTCTTGGAGCGAAATCAAATACATCCCCACGATATTTTGTAATTTCAAATTTCATTGTTAGTATTAAAAATTCAAAGAATGGTATGAAAATAGTGACTTTTTTATTCCGGTAAATTCGAATAACTGAAAAAGAAAACCAAAAAATAGTGGGAGTCTTTGTAGCTCATAATTTGCACATTACAAGTGTTTTGAGTTGACCAAAGGAAACTTCAGGGTAATAATAACTTCCAATGGCTATCTCTGAAAGTAATGCATAGTGGTTGCGGAAAAGTGTTCTCAATAAGGAATTATTTTTTTGTTTTTATCGCGAAAAAGTACTTACCGTTTTCATATAAAATAAGGGTATATAACTGGTCAATATGCTATAATCAAGAAGAGTCACATAATAAAAAGCATCATTTGTCGCAGGCGTCTGATAAATGAACAAGTTTAATTTAGAAACTTAGCAGAAAGGTTTCATATACCTTTGAAGCGGTTGGTTTTTGTGATTTTCAAGAATTATCACTGACAGATAACAAAAGCACATTTGAAACTGAATTGTACCTATTTCAAATTTAAAGAAAATAGAACGAATATCCGGATTAGTGTGAATGGTGGGATCAGCTTGATGAAAGTTCGCGTTGGTTTTTTTTTCTTGAAATGTTCATTTCCATGATATTTTATTGGAAATGGTCACAACCAAACTTAATACAGTGATTATTTATTTAGTTTAATACCTCTCTTAATTGTTATGCAACTACACAAACAAGGTTGAATAAAGGGAAAACACACTGACAAACTGGCCTTCAAACCATTCTTTTAGTTCATCCCTTGGTAAGGCCTTGATGTTTCCGAGGACACATTCTGCTTCTGTCCCGGTCCATTTTAGTGATATGCCCAGTTTGAATTACATCATTACTTTCATATTGGCTTAAATGAATGAACGACAGTTCATGTTTCCATGTGATAAATACACACAAAAGTAAACTCAATCCTAGGAAAAATGTTGAAGTCTAGAAAAATAAGTCCGAGCACGCAAAGTAATTTTTCATTACAATGTCTCTTTTAGTTCAGTTTATGATTTTAAAAAAGAAAAGCACACCATACATTTGGTCTTTTATTTTGCTTTCTGGTCATTTTTATTTGCAGTATAATTATGGTTGAAAGTAAACAATTCCCGAAAATAAGACAACACAAGGTATTTCTTCCTTGTTGTTAAATGGAACTTATTGAATTTACTTTAGTTACAAAAGAGAATAAGTAAAATGAACAAGGTAATGTCATAATATATACGTATAATAATCACTCAGACTACGTCGGAAAATTTAACAAATCCAAATATTATTCTGTTTTTAGCTGAAATCACAATACATGAAAGCTGAATTGCTAGAATCTTGAAGCAGTTTTGATTTTGTCAATATTACAATATTGCTGAGGTTTAAATGATGCATAAAAAAGATGTGTAATTCGTTATGCATCTTTTTGTAACGGTTTTTATTACGAATAACACTTTCTTATTATGAATAAGAATATTTTTCTTTTATAGTCGTTGATAAAGATCTGTTATTCCAGTTGTAAAATTACTCCAGTTGTAAAACTTTAGTAAAAACCTTTACAAAATATCTTTTGCGGGAATCCAGCATATATTAGCACATCTGATCGAAGAGGTGCTATTAGAGATTAGCAATACTGTTCATAGATACATCTTCCCTGATATAAATATTGTGGTAATTGCTATAAATATGATATAAATATTGTGGTAATTTTAATATGCAGTATTTCACTGTCCAATTTTCCAAAAATTGAAACTTAGAGAAAAAAAATGCGAAATCTATAATCGATCTTAATTTTACTAGTTTCGTTTTTTATTGATAAAATCCTGAACCATACAGAGACAGAAGAAAGGCGAAGAGTTCAAGACTAGAAAAATTAATTATCTAGACCCGACAATATTAATTTTAAAAAGATAGACCTTTGAATAGTAAAGCTACTGCTTACGATTATAATCAGACGCAAAAATGCGATGCGGTAAACATTAGCAATCCTCACTAATGAATCTGGTCGATAGTTCATGAAACCATTAGTATTATTAAAAGAGCTACATAAGGTGTAGATCTGAATTACTACAAAACCATTAAAATAACGGTAGGTTAATATGACTATAAAGTGCTTTTGATGCCAATTTTGAGCATTAAGACGAGTTGCTGTATCATGCTTGCTCTTTTACTCTTCAACTTCTATACAATAAGACTTCATCAGATTATACAAATTTTATTTCTAAATGTTTCCACTGAATGTCACATTGGTCTATTTGGCGTTGGAAAACGTCTGTAATATCTTGGAATATATTTTACAGTACACATGATGCATTACTGAAATTAAAGTTGGAGATCTACACATAATAGTCATCTTAATCAGTGAAAGTAATAAAAATACTGCAAATGCCAATTCATAATTGGATCCTTTTAGTAGCATATAATGTTTCTGTTGAATGGCTTTTCAGTTGGATCCAATTTAGCCATCATCTATCTTTTAAGCTACAGAAAGGTTGAATTTCTCGTTCTTTCAGAACGAATTTCTAATAGAGCAATTTAGAATTATTTATTTTTATTGGTCAATAGTTTCCTCGGTCTTTATTAATAAATTTATTTGGAAATGCAAAGGATTGCCGACTAGTGACCTTGTTTTCGTGACATTTACCTCCTCTATCGTCAACCCGCAAAAAAATGATTTCGAATCATATCTAAGACCCAACACCAGAACTGTCAAAAATGGAATTTGTGTGGTATTTCGATTGCTTTTCAAATTTATGACCTATTCTGGTTGGAATTCACTTGACTATCAAATTTTTACAATGTGGATCTGCATTAAAGAGTCCCAAATGCGACTCGTTTATTTATCTTAAACTAATGACTGATTATAAGGACATGAACACCACTAGCATTTAGTTCAGTAATAGTTCGAAAACGGAAATTGGATAATTCAATTAAAAGGTTGAAAAATAAAAGTGGTATTTGTAATTGTTTTAATTTTCACGAATTGTGGTAGGAGTTTGCTGTAATAGCTGAAACACATCGATTAAGTATGATGAACCTTCGACAGAAGCAAATCTTGATTTCCCTCCGAAAAGGTACTCCTTAGCTACTGCGTTATATCCTACTCAATCCTGGCTTATTTGTATGCATAACTACTTGATAATGTTTTCATATTTGACAGTTGGGGCTTCCTTTAAACTTATGAGAACTGAAGGAGATGCAGCTGAGGTTAAAATTTGCAATGATTCCTGTTATTTTATGACCAGTGTCCATCTATCATAATATGTATTCAAACGGCATTTTATAATTCCTGCCAATTGCGCTAGAAAGCGAAAGACAAATGCTCAAGTATCTCATTCAATATTAAGATGCCACTGTCGAGGAAGGAGGAAGCTATAGAAAAAATTCTTGTTTCATCCACTATTGTTTAGGTTTCATGAACTTTAGGTTTACGAAACTTTAATTCAATATGTTATCTCATTTTTGTCGTACTTTATTGTCTGCATTAAAAACATCTTCGTATAGCTGATAATTGGGATGACCCAAATGAATTTACAAACAAATGATGCTCGTTATTCAAGACGCAAATACTAAATGATAAAAAAATTCAAATTTTTGTTTCCAGGTTTTAAGTGTGTTGAGTTCTCCATCAAATTTGATGATCTGGAAAATTCTTCCATCATGACATATATGATATGATAGAAATAGTAACGATAAGGCAGAGATAAAGTGTGAAGGAGGTTTCGGAATAGAGGGATAATTTAATTATTCTATGCTTTATGTCTAGGATACAGTAGTCTTAATATGGAAGGATTACTACACTAAAAATTGGACATTCCGACAAATAACGAATGTATAAAGAAGTAATAACCTTCAGGAAAATTGGACATTTCAACAAATAATGTATAAAGAAGTAATAACCATCAGAAAGATGTATGATATTTGTTCAAGCAAAGCATGTCCAATTTTCCGGATTAACGGTTTGTTTCAAAACCCCCTGATCCCTGATATAAGATTTAATAGTTCTCTGTATGACAGACTAATTCGACCAGTGTTGAATCTTTTGTCCAATTTATTAAGTTCCATTGAATGATAATTCCCTGAAACGACGAGAAAAGCAATTTTTTTTGGAATATTTAAATCATACCTCAGAATATAAACTCTCTTGTCAGAAAGGAAACACAAAAAACGAACTCCAAAAATTTAATTATCGTTTTAAGTAGTAACAATAGCCATGTACGAATATTATGATTACTCGTTTTCCTTCTAACGAAACCCAAATATACTTATTGTGATATGTTGAGAGAAATCGTACAGAAAAACAAAATTGATTGGAGGATAGGAAACTGACATTGCCTCGGGAAATATTTGCCAAAGAAATGCTTTTTTCCTATCCTCTATGTTAAGTGAACAACCGTTCTATTACCAGAAATGTTTCTTATTTACTGGTCGAGGAAGTCCAATATAAACAAAGTAACTTAAAATTATGAACTACATTGCGAAAACCAAAATTAATTTTAGAGCTAAAATGCTGTGTGCTGATAAAAATCAAACATTTTCTATCAAAATTAGCTGAAATGCAGTAGTATTACTGAAGAAAAGAAATGGTTGTTTCTGTTCGTGTTTCTGCTTAATTAACAAGTTCAACACTCCAATGAAAGACTGGTAAGAATTCAGGACTACCAATTAACCGTATCGATTGTTGCTTTTGTCAAAGATGATCAAAATTTGAGTTTTTTGGCCTCTTTACTTTCTCCACTATTTTCGAGGAATTTCTAACTCTGAGATCAGCAAGTTTTCAGCTAGTTTCAGGTAAAAAATTTCAACATTGCAATGAATTAAGAAATTCAGGAAACAGTAACATAGGACGCGCTGTTTTATGATAACCACAACTTGGTTTTTCCCTTTTCCTGTGCGTTCTATTTCTAATTCAAAGTCAGTTACACGTTCCTCTTCAGGTGTATTATTTATACATAAAACATAAACTATATAAAAATTTGAGAAGAAAACTAAAAATAAAAACCATCAAAATCAACCAAAAAAAAGAAAAAAAAACTAAAACAAAAGGTGGTTATTCATCCTTCAGTATTTTCTTAACCATCTTTAGACACAACTATCGACGACATTTGTGCATTTTATCTTCTTAAAGATGAAAAGCAAGATAGATGCATTATTTAGAGGCTATTTTCCGCATTCAGCTTTTGAGAATATTTCTATGGAACTATAACACACTGTTTCACTATAATTGTTACCCCATCTAGCAATCATTTTTATTAGAAGCTTTCAAGTTTGGAAATAGATTAGTTGATCAAAAAAGATTATATTTAATGAATTAGCGTTTTATCCCCAATCTTGAAACCTTTTTGAATGATGCTCAAATATTTGTTGTGCTACTTTCGGCCATTTCAAAAATAATCGTTACGATTTCTTTTTGCGAATACTTTCTAGCGCCAGGTAAATTCCTTAATTAATTCATCTGATTATTCTAGTAAAGTTACAGTTGTTTTTAAAGGTCATGAATTTGATGTCTTGCAGATTCAAATCAGTGTTGGTTTTATGTTGAAAAAAAGAAGACAGTATTCATTTTTTGTTGAAAAATTTGGGAAAAAACCTAAGCCATTCCAGTCAGTGGCTGTTACTTCCTTGTTAGGAAAAGGAGAGCAGGAGGAAACCCAAATCTTTCATCGGAATTATCTCCCACAAAGTCTCCTTCCTGAGAAAGAATTTTTTCTATTCACCACTAAACACTTTCGATATAAATCAACTCTTGAGATTTTCATTAGTGAAAATTTCAACATACAGGCTGTTCTCAATATGGTCGGTGATGCTAAAAATTTTATTAGGTGTGCCGCGTGGGAGCATCTTTCTACTCTTTTTGAATGCTATTCTAGCAAACGAGCTATCGTAACACCCAGGGTATGCCGACCATTCTTCCCTACATCCCGTGCGCTCATCATTATGAGGAATACTCAATGACCCCTAATTACTTAGAGGTGAATATAGCAGGGATACTTTCTAACGATAGAGTGTAAGATTTCATCAAAATAAACTGAAGAAGCACCCATGCTGCACAATTTTTACAACCATTTTTATGAGAAGATTTAACAGAAGAAGAAAAAAAAGACGATTTATGAACGAATCTTTTATCTCTTCTCGCATAATTCTCACGCACTGCGACACCTACCCTTCCTTCCATTGCATACTAACAAATTACCAAAAGTTCAGTAGACTACATTTTAACGAGCAATCCTTAACTTCCATGCCATCGTACCGACTGGTTTGGAGATTAATAGCCAAAATATTGCGTTTTAACCATCTCGACGTTTGGTGGAGAGCCTTAGCTAGCTTACTATTGGAGATGGGGGTTCTTGTGTTGAGTCATCCTGCACGTTTAGCTTCACAACTGCTATGGATGACATGGACCACTCGAATTTGCAGGGGATTGCCGTGCAATGTCTTTGGGGAATGGTCACAGAAATTGCTTCATTCGTTTTACGACGAGAATTAACATTAAATAGCTAAAAACAATTTTAATTTCTTTACATACTGTTTTGTTCAGCTCAGAGTTCGTTCTTCTTCACCAGTTAAGATTTCAGGGATTCTTTGTGTGACTGTGTCCTTCCAATTTCTTCCAACGAAATTACTTTTCTTCGTTCTTAACTGTGTCAGTAATCTGGGACATACATTTTTTGTATTTCCAAGGTTAACTGGTTGTTCTTCATTACTGAATAATTTGAAAATTTTGGCTCTACGTGGTCACTGTTCTGGACCTGTGCATAACCAGTGATGATTGGTGGTTTATTCGTTTATAATCATAAGGGTGAAGTGCTTATTTCGCGTATTTATCGAGATGATGTCAGGTAAGAAAATGGAAGAAACTTTTTTAGATACTGTTGCACTAAGCTGGGTGAACGCAAGTGGACAGAAGAGAGATGGAGTGTTAAGAGAGCTTTACAATGAAAAAGCCTAACATAGATTTCGAATCCAGCTAGTAATCCGTTTTTTTCTCATGTTTAGGGATTGAAATCGCGTTGAGTTTACATTTCTGAGTGCTTAAGTATCCTATATTATTGTTTCAGTCGAAATGCAGTGGACGCTTTTCGAGTTAATGTTATCCACGCGCGGCAGCAGGTACCTGCCCTTTCTATTTATATTTTCAAATCTCTCCAGTGGTTGCAGAATTTACATTTATATTTCTTCTGCTGTTATATTGGTGCATTTGTCAAAGTGCTGGTTCATCAAGTATGTGATTTGTTAAGGTGCGGAGTCCGGTAACAAATATGGCCAGGACATCATTTTTCCACATAAAACGGGGTAATGTTTGGATTTGTGCAGTTACTCGGCAAAATGTCAATGCTGCAATGGTGTTCGAATTTCTAAACAGGTTAATTATTTTATTGATCTTTGGGATCCATAAATGAAAACAATTTTGATTTTTTGAAGGTTTGCGGATACTATGCAGTCATACTTTGGAAAATTGAATGAGGAAAACGTTAAGAACAACTTCGTTCTCATCTATGAGCTTTTGGATGGTATGCTTTTTCTGTGCTATACTCATAGGAGCTTAGCCGGTTCTCTCCTTTACATTACCGCATAACTAGGAAATTTTTGCGTTATCTTCCATTTTGTAATCTACTAAGTTCATCAAACTGCCATTTTTAATATTTCGATGGTTTCGAAAAGTGGTATGGCTTTTATTAATAAACTTATTCCAGTTGCTGCAGTAAGCAGTTTTATCTCTGAAGGAATTATCAGGTTCATAAGCGTTGCTTTTGCAGAGATCCTTGATTTTGGTTATCCACAAAATACAGACCCCGGAGTTTTAAAGACGTTCATTACGCAACAAGGCGTTAGAACAGCAGTATGTTTTTTTTTTTTCTCTCTCTCTTTTTTATCGTTTTTCTCGTTTCTCTGTTTTGGTTACACTGGAAAGCTGTATGCATGTAAGATATTTCGAATATATTTCATTATTCTTGATTTTGGAGCTATATCATTGATTGTATATTTCCATGCATAGGCACCGGCGGTTTCTTGTGAATTCTGTGCTTTAACAGTATAGAAGCCAACTAGTTGTTTATTCTCTATTGTTTCAATGTTTCATATTTATAAGTTATTACTTTCGTTATCGTTTCGCGCGGTTCTTCCGTAGTTGTGTAAATGGAAATCGTCTGTTCTGCATATTTTTTTTAGATTGACTACTGATTTACTAACTTCAGAGTAAAGAAGAACAGGCGCAAATTACATCACAGGTAACGGGACAAATTGGATGGCGTCGCGAAGGCATAAAATATCGTCGAAATGAATTATTTTTGGATGTCATCGAATACGTCAATCTTCTTATGTCTCAGCAAGGTATTTCAATTACTCTTACTATCTATGGGTTATTATATCCTGCACTCTGAAATATCTTGTACCAGTTCTTCTGAATCTGTAAGTTAATTTAAATTAATTTAGGGCAGGTTTTATCAGCTCACGTTGCTGGAAAAGTGGCAATGAAGTCATACTTATCTGGAATGCCGGAATGCAAATTTGGAATCAATGACAAGCTTACCATTGAGGGTAAAGGACGTACTGGCAGTGATGATCCTACCAAATCGTTCGTTTTCTAATTAATCGTAATTACCGTGGCTTTTCATCGAAGACCTTTATTTTTTAAGTCTTCCCCTTCACTTTTTATTTCTACCGTCAATATTGAAGTTTTGTTCTGAAGTAGATTCCGTTATGTTGCAGGGCACGTATCGCTGTGGCAATCGATGACTGCCAATTTCATCAGTGTGTTAAATTAACCAAGTTTGACACCGAACATGCTATAAGTTTTATTCCACCTGATGGAGAGTATGAGCTTATGAGGTTTGATCCCTTTCTTTCTTCGTTGAGTCAGTGTTTTCATATGTTTTGATTGACTCTTCAGCATACCGCTTCTTTTTTTTTTTTTTGCAGATACCGTACAACCAAGGACATACAGCTTCCATTTCGAGTCATTCCGCTTGTTCGAGAAACTTCCAGAAACAAAATGGAGGCACGAAAATTTAAACTTGGTTTTTATGTTTTAGGATTGCAAGCATCGTATTTTGGATTTTTCTTAGGATTGGTGGATTACACAAATGCAGTATGATGTTCATTATGGCGTCAGTGTTTGGTGAAAATGGCTATGCATTATTCTTCTGAGAGACACTCATGCTCCCAGCAAGCCGTTCCATTCCTTTAAATCTATTTGTCATTGATTAAGCTCCTGTAGTTGAATCTTGTAATTTCGTCTAGTGAATTCATCAACTAGCGTGGGATATTTTCCTTGGCTTGTTTGGGACTTCTGAAAATATGTTTGCTATGCTTTGATATTATTCAGTCTACCAAGACGCCATCAAGCCTGTTGTGCTATGAATTATACGCAATATTTTGTAGGTAAAAGTGGTGGTGAAATCAAACTTTAAGCCATCACTTCTGGCACAGAAAATTGAAGTTCGCATACCTACACCTCCGAATACTAGTGGAGTGCAGTTAATTTGTATGAAGGGCAAAGCCAAGTACAAAGCTGGCGAAAATGCAATTGTTTGGAAGTAAGTTTTACACTTGCCATTCTAGATGTTTCAAATTTCTTAAATTGAGTCTTGTTAATAAACGCTCAAATGAAAGAATATAATCTACGTTTTTTTTTCCTAATTTGCATTTTCTGATCCCATTTTGGTTTGTCGCGTTTATTTTATCTTTGCATAAATCTGACCTATTTATCTTGAGCTAAAAGCATCCGTACCGTTCCGAAGTGCATTATATTTTTCTTTAGCAAGCAGTTTTCATTACTCATTCTTTGCATTAGTATACGGCATGCAACAGTGAAGGGTGTCCATGAGAAAGAAAAGGATTATTCCATTAGCCTCTATCAGGTATAATGCGATGGACAAATCTGATTCGATTAAGATCGGCTTATAATTACATCTTAATAATATCGAAGTCAACGCACTGAAAGCTTGATCGCACTCGGTGGTTTGTTGAGGCACGTATTATTATACTGTGTCAATCAAATCTCCGATAAAATGCGGAATGGTTACCTCATCTTTTTTGATCATGGAAAACATTGAACGTACTTTCAAAATATTACATTTGCATCTTTTAACTTACTGAGAAACGGAATGTTCTCGTATTTGTCAAAATGAATTTAAATAAAGATTGGTGTCACTTTTCAGAATCAAGCGTATGGGTGGATTGAAAGAATCTCAGATCTCTGCTGAAATTGATATTTTGAGCACAGGTAACGCTGAAAAGAAAAAGTGGAACCGTCCTCCGGTCTCCATGAATTTCGAGGTAACTTCTTGGGATTGAACTAGGATTGAAGATGAGTTCATGTTCCTTTGCTTCTGGTGCAAAGCATCACCAAACAAAGTATTTTTCAGGTACCGTTTGCTCCATCAGGTTTGAAAGTGAGGTATCTGAAAGTATTTGAACCAAAGTTGAATTATTCGGATCACGATGTCATCAAGTGGGTGCGCTACATAGGTAGGTCGGGACTCTATGAAACAAGATGCTAAGTTCTTTAGTCCTATTACGACAACTTGCGATGTCATAATCGAGAAAATTCCGAAGTGGAAAAACATTTCACCTCTGCTATCTTTGCGCATTTAGTATTCGGTTTTTTTCCATTCATTTAGTTCACCTCGGTATCTGCTTCTTTACAACTGATTCTTCTTTCTGTGCATTAATTTACAAGATGTTGGCATAAATTCCATCTCTGCAATATTTATTTCAAAACGTTTTTAAGTAGACAGTTCACTGAATGTATCCCTACTACATAGTTGCGGAAAAACTTATTCCAGTATTTGATTAGCATTATTTTTCAGAAGAACTTTTACGCAGTATAAAATGCGTGTGCTTGTTAACGGCGACCTAACTGCTTCTTTGTAATTTGCTTCTGCAACTTTAGGTTTTGTGCTTTTTGTGATTTATATTGGTGGTGTTCATCTCTGTGTGTTTTTTGCTGTGCTAATTGCTTGCAAACTATTACCATAATTCTTTCCAAATTCTAGAAAGAGGGTGGGAAAGTACAGGAGGAAAGATTTACATTAGTCTGTTTTGCCTCTATTTGCTGTAGCGATTTCCAAAAATTATGTTTAGAAAGTCGATAGAAAGGAACATTGATTTCTTCCTGTTTGTAATTTCCAGCATTGTCATGATAATAATTACATTCCTGAACACTGCAAAATTTCTAGACCAGTTGTATTCATCATTTTCTTAAATCCTATTTGGAATAAATTGCAATTTTCTTGTGACCGATAGGTTGTATATAGCATCTGTGAAACAATTACGACCCTCTTTTTAATTCTGAGGCGTTTTACTGTACTGATTGTTCTGTGAAGCTATATATAAGGTTTAGTAGTACTAATTAATGAAACAGTATACTGACGAACACTTTTCCAGGGAAATATTTTGAAAGTAAAGTTTTTCCAGGGAAATATTTTGAAAGTGAAGTTCTTCCTTCAAGATTTCAAAATGCGGGAGAAGCGGATCTGAATGTTCAAGAGGACTTCAAGTTTATTTTCTACAAGTAGGAATTGTAGATTTGAATGGGAAATGAGCAGTTCGTATTCCAAGTTTGTCGAAATGTTTTAATTTGGTTTGGATGGATATTGTTTGACGGGTCGGCATTGTTTGACCTAATTTGAATAAAGGGAAAATAGATTGGTACATGGGCAGAATTCCTGGCTTACTGATTTATAAAATTGAGGTGAACGATTGTCGCAATATTCAAATTAAGTAATGCGATATGTTTTTATGGAATTTGTTGTCTGGAGAGGACAGACGACTTCCAGGTGTCGACGAACTGTGCTATCAGTTGAGTTTTGCTTTTAGGAAACTAATTAATACAATTACTTTTAATGTTGTGTTACCACTTTGCAACACGAAAGCAATTTCCTTATGTAAGAATGACTGGTAATATAAAGTCACTCTGTCTCCATCGCAAATTTTTGGATTTCAAAATAACAGTGGCGTCTCTAATTCCTTTTATTCCCTTTTACTTAGTAAATTTTGGCAGTTTATTGGAAAATATGTTTTCATTAGAGACAGTGTCAACATTCCCATCAGCCATTTTCACACCGTGAACTTCACGCTGGGAACACATCGATCCTTAATGATATGATCCTGAAATTCACTATTTGGAAATCGCATTAGTTGTTAAATGGACTTACATGCTCTGTCGTTGTAAAAATACGTTATTTGTAAAATAGTGATTAACATATGCAAAATTAATAATTGTTCCTTCAATTCAAACGAATAAATACGAGCGAAGAGATTGAAATGCAGATAACATTCAACACAGTCCGCTGTTACCGGACTTTGAGGACCTGCAAAGCTGCAGTACTTGCACGTGAAAGAGATTTTAGTTTTGTTTTAAATTTGATTGTACATTTTCATAGTTCAAGATTAAATTTCATTTAGTGCACTGGGAGTGTAATGTTTGAGTGCACGAAACAGATTTTATATTTGCTGTATAATTATACTTTATTGGTACTGATAGCTAGCTAGAAAATAGGGATATACGTTTACTTATGGAAAATCAGACATTGAAAAACAGAGAAAACGAGATCATTTGAAATTTCTTTAAAGGTTTGATGATAGACTTGGTGTTTGCTGTGAAATTTTCATGTAATTGATCAATTATACCTGACCTAGGAAGACAATATAGAAAATTCCAAAAATGATGAACAGCTGGAATTTTTTGACAACTAAACTCTATATCTCAAATTTAAAATGATGTAGCAGAGAATTATTACAAATCAAAATGACCTGAGGAGGAAACAGATGCAACAGATATGTAGCAAGAAAGAAGTGATAGAGCAAAACTCTAGCAAATTCAGCTGCAGCATTGTTTTGCTTTGGCTGGACTTTTGGACAGCTGCTGATAAGAAGAGAGTAGTGCAATAATGTGTTCTTCCTCAATCACGTCACTCATCCACCCTTTCGTATATAATAATTAAACATCCACTGTAATGAGGCGTGATACTGTCTTTGTGCAGAACGACGAATTCGATCTTGTAAGTTACTCTTCAGCGTATTCCTTTATTGCTGTCGCAGTAACCTTTTCACATTTTCTTGTCTTTAAATTTTTGAATGTCACTTCAGCAAATCCCACACATGTGTCAATGTGAATTTTTTTCCTCGATTTGTTCTTGCTCACTTCTTCCAGCATTTTGCTACAGTCTCTGAATATACTTTTCCTTCACCAACTTCAAACATGTCAAAATATGCATCATTGAGTTACTACGCATTATAAATTCTGTCATTGCAATTACTGCTCTAAAAATACGTCAGTTATAACGCATTTATTGGATGAAATAAATAATCAATACTGATCAAGCACTCCATTGACGTCATTGTTTTACAGACCTTCGAGTAATGTTTTATTTACAAGAGGGGTTCCTGTTACAATTTCACATGTTATGTGTTTCCCTAAAAAGTTTTATGGCAAGGATTTCTGAACCGTGTTTCACAGCCAGCTTCATCATAGGATTGAGGAATCGGAAAGAAGTAAAGCTTATAAATTTCATTTTTCAAAGCACAGTTTTTTGAGGAATATTTCCGATGCCTTTCTAGAGATAAAGTCGTATATCGCAGAGATATATACTAACCAAATTTGGCTTGTCTGTTGCTAGTAAAATCACCGAAATTCGGTATAGGTACCGTACCGAAGATACCGTAAACGAAACTGCTAGTTCTTCGCAAACTGACAACGTGTATCAAGTATTTTTCGGTCTGTTGATATAGTATATCGTATCATTGCTCAAAACAGACCTTTTTTGAAGATTGGGTGCAATTAAGAGTAAACATGAACAGAAATGTTTCAAATTTCTTTATTCCAAATTTATATTGAAGTTTCAAAATATTTTAAACCGATTTCATCGTTTTTGGCTCATTACGTTGTATAACACCAATAGTTGACACCCATTTGTTTGGAAAAACACTAAGAAAGAAATTTGTGAAACTTTCGGTCTTTTTTATTTTTGTAGTCTGTAATATGGTAATTTATTGTAATCCAAGAAGTGCTTCAGAGATCAGAGTCAGAAAACAGTTCAAATGGTGACGAAATACCGATGGAAATGGATCTTACGGCGGCTGGTCCACCTTTGTCAGATGATGAGTCAGTCACCGAACAGTCCCGTGCGCAAGCTAAAACGATTATGGTATATTTAAAATTGTTTTTAATTACATTTGTTCATCGGAAGTTTACTTTTCAGTTGGTAAATCCTAGACTGAATTACTAAAGATTACACAGTATTTGTTCAATTTAATTGATTTAAAATTCCCGCCACCATAAGAAATACATTGCTACAATTTTTTTGAAGTTTAATATGAAACTTCCTTACAGTTTTTGATTGCAGTATGCTCGAATGATACTACCTCATGTTGGACTCGTTCTGTTACTTATTGTGTACCTTTTGCTTGGCGCTATAGTGTTTCGTTATCTGGAAGCGCCAAATGAAGTCGAAGTAAGCTGTAGTTTATGAGCAATGCTGGAAATAAATAATATTCCTTATACTTATGCTCTCAAGTGTTATTCTTTTGCAATAAAAATGTAGTATGCCGCAGAATCGATTTTTTACCCCTTTCGCTATTCTCACTTATTAAAATACTTCATTTGTTATTCATGTATATCGACGTAAGCTTTCCTTATAATTCTAATAATTTTAAAAATTATTAGTCCACCATAATAGCTTAGTTTTTTAGTTTAAACGATCTTTAATTGAGGATACTGCTTGATTCATTTTTATTTCAATCATAGAAGTAACAAGAAATATCATAATTAGATTATAAACCACATAATTTCATAAACAGGGCAAATAATTATGTAAGATCCTTTGATCAAGAGCTAAATAGACAGCATTAGAAAAAGTTGCAGACAATTTAACCATTTCTCTTATGTTTTTTATTACCACTTATTAATCGCCAGCAAATAACGGTGTGAAAACTTACTTTCGCCACTATTCCTTCTCTTTTTTTATCTCTCCTTATTTTTGAAGATATATGAGAAGCATTTAAAAAAATGCTTCCCCTTCTAAACTACAGACTCGTGATCGCGAATTGCGGGCAATTTTTGGCTTACGAAAGGATTTCCATGATATGGTTTGGAATTTAACTGTCGGCGGTAATAGCTTCTTTACGCGCGAATCACTGGACTTGGTTGGAGAGCAGTACTTTGAATCACTGGTACTTGCAATGTTCGAAGCATATCGGAACCAGTTTGTCAATGAAAATCATTTACTGAATAAAACAAACGGTGATGCCATGCTGTGGACCTTTGCTAACAGCATTTTTTTCGCCACAACTGTTATTACCACTATTGGTAACGTTTTCATGTGCTTATTTGAAGTATTAAAATAGCATCTGTTGGATAAGGAGAAAAATAATTCCCTACATTACTGTAATTTTCTTGTATTGGTTCCGAAAACTGTTGGATACTATTGATAATGATCGTGTTCATCCAATTTTTGGAAATCTTTATCAGAAGCGACTGTTTACATTTCAAGGATATGGCAATTTGGTGCCAGCAACGCAATTTGGCCGTATTGCATGCATATGTTTCGCTTTGTTTGGTATACCGCTACTTTTGGTCACAATAGCAGATATAGGCAAATTTTTGTCCGATTTTTTGAGCTTTCTCTACCGAACCTATCGGACTTTCAAACGCAAGGTTAGGAATATTTTTGTTATAAATAACCCCATTAAGTTAACTGACAATTGCTTTGTAAAATTTAGTCTCTTAATTAAAAAAAAATTTAGCCTCTTAACTTTAAAAAAATTGAATTACAGGTTTGTAGACAATCACGACGTATATCACATCATTATCGGGATCGGAGCTCCTCCGCACAAAGTAGTTCTGTATCAACGAAAGCTGGAAGTATGAATCTGAATAGTATCGACAGTGATTCAGAATCGAGTTGTGAGGTCTTTTTTTCTCATAAAATAAGTGTTGAAAAGGCTAATATGTAAGCTTCTTCAATTTTGTTCATTCGCTTCCAAAGGGAAGCACGTTAAAAGGACCACTACTGTTGAAAAAAAATTGAGGTTCATTTTCCTTATCGTTCTAGTTCACAATTCTTTACCGATATTGGCTATGTCTGGTGCTCTGTACGTTTTACTTCATCTGAACGTTGGTTTATTTGGTCTCGAACCTTGCTTCAGACATTCAACACTCTTCTGTGAGAAAGAAGTGGATGACGGGGATATACCTCCGCTGTAAATCAATAAGTTATATCTGCTAATTTGAGCAAGATTATTTGCTAGGACTGGAGTATAGTTCCAATACGCATGTAATAAACTTTAAAATAATTTGTTTACCATATGTATACTTCTTTTCACTGTTGTTTACGTCTTTAGGATGAATTACGTATTCCGGTTATAATGGTACTATTTGTATTAGTTGCTTATACGGCAATAGGGGGCTTATTGTTTCGAGCATGGGAGGGGTGGCAATATTTCGATGCCTTCTATTTTTGCTTTATTACAATGGCCACTGTTGGTAAGTTTTTTTTCTGATGAAATGGAGGTAGAAAATAAGTGTGCACATTATCATTCATTCGTTTAGAGTAATGGTTCCCAACCTTTTCTTGACCATGAACTACTTTGGCTCTTTTTTTGTAGGAGGGAACACAAGGTTCAAAAATAATAAATTCCGTTAACTTGAAAATAAAGTTTAATCGAGACTTTCAACGTGTCAATTTATCAAACACTGATAAGAACAGCCCCTGCCTCTCTTCTACTCATTGAGCAGCTGCCCTCGTGGACCATATTTTAGTACTCTTGGACAACCTGTGGTCCCCGGACCACCGGTTGAGAGCCATTAGTTTAGAGTAAGTCATATATTTTATCATATATTCAGTTATATATTTTGAACAGGTTTCGGAGATATTGTGCCTACTGAGCAAATGTATATGTTTTTCACGATGGCTTATATTATCTTCGGCTTGGCTTTGTGAGTTTCACGCTTCTTTCGAGCTTTAAAACGAATAGATAGCTATGATTTCTCAGTTAGATATTTTATTTTCAGAATAATTGATTCTTTTATGCGAAAAAGTTTCATAGCATTTTCCGTGGCAGTGTTATTTTCAGAGCTACAATGTGCATTGATCTTGCTGGTACAGAATACATTCGGAAAATCCATTACTTAGGCACAAAAATGGAAGGTGCAAAAGGAGCTGTTATGACGTGCGTCATATTATTTAGTCATTTATAATTCTAAATTTCTTTGAATGCTTTGTAAATTTTTCCACAGAATATTTTGGAGGATGCATACTTCTATGTGAAGAAATAAGCTTTTAAAACCTGTGCATTATTTTCATTCTAGAGGTTTGCAAGCTGGTGAACATTTACTGAAGCATACTGGTATTGAAGTTATAAAAACAGCTGGTGGTAAACTGGTCCAGGTTCGTGGGGCAGTACTGAATCAAAATCAGGCTCGTGAACTCGGTGTCGATTACATATTAACTGATTTGCACTATCAACAGAAGAATATACTCTATGAACCATTAAGTCCAACAGTGCAACGCTTAGTAAAAAGCAGTAATATTAAAGTAATTTTTGAACTTTTGTGTGGTTCAGGCAGAAAGTTTTAAAACTTTCTTCAAGCTTTTGTTGACCTGAAATTTCATTCTTTGTCGTCATTTAATCTCAGTTCTTCAAAAGTTAAAGTTCAGATACTACCTGGTGATATTACGGAGAAAGATGGATATATCATGCAGAACAAAAGTTATGATAAACCGGGTGGAAAGTATTATCGTATGTTTCATCGGCGTAGAAACTGTATACACCGTTTGTTGGTACCATCAACGAATGATGTCACTGCTATCGTACCTATATTATTGAAAGAAACTGATGTGTGATGTGTCCGCTGTTACTATTACATCGGCCTATCAGTATAAGGAAATGTGAGACAACCAAGGATTTGTTTAATTTAAAACTTAGATACTACCTGGTGACATTATGAAGAGGTCAATAATTCAATTGCAAAAGATAGGAAATCATGAATTAAATAAAATAATAGTTCTGCCTATTTAGCAAAATAGTTCTGCCTATTTGTTATTACCTATCCAGCTAATAACAAATTTCACTGCAGCCTAACGCGGCTGCATCTCTTTATATTTCTATGGCTTTAACTTTTTGTTGAATTGTTCAAGTCAACTCTGTTATAAATTTATCAGATGACTGTACAGATTTATTGAAATCGATTGTCTTGTTTTATAAGGAGTAAATATGACTATTGACCGCAACAGGATTATCACTTGAACATGACTGAAAATTTCAAGTAATGGTTTTCTTGGATTTCCAACAGCAATTTCTTCAACCATTTCTTTCCAGAATTTTACAGCATGTAATTAACGTGCCATTTCTTTGAGAGAATGCCATATCAGTTGATCTTTTTTCTAAAAGCGATGACATTTAAACTCTTGACTTTTCTTTCACAAAACCAACCCATGTTTATTGTGGATCACAACACCTTGTTATACTATTTTGAATTAATTCATTTCGGAAATACATAATAAGCAAATTTTAGAATTTAATAAAATATCACAAAATTGTTAAAAGCTCTGCATATATATTAGATCTTTTCCTTTCCCAATTCCCGATTCTTATGTCGCCATTTTTAAAAAGTAGAAGGAATTAATTGCACCATGTGTAAACATATGAAATAAAACATAATGAATCATACAAATTTACAGTGTGATTTATTCAATGCGAATATTTATTAAAAATATCAGATGTTTGGATTTGATGGCTTTTCAGCCGTAAATGTTACTGTTGACAGTATCATTAATGCAACTGACAATTCAGATTTGCTATATGAGTTAACTAAAAAAGATTTGATCGATTTTTTTTACTTTAAAACAAAATAAGTGAGATGAAACTTGGTGAGATGGACTCACAATCATGACATCATAACTGGTCACTTATAAGCCAAATAAAAAACTTTTAATCGCATTGTAATGGTGAATACAATTGATGAAAATGCATGAAATTATTTAATTAACATCCAATATTTACCCATTTTATGTTCAACTAAAATATATTTGTGCACTGAGGCACGTTGGCGAACATTTCTGATGCATTTTTAGGAGTCATTTCAGGAAAAACGGCTTATCAAAATGTAGGAACATAATATCTATCATTCCAAGACCCTGTATTACCATTTTCAAGCTTTCGGTATAAGAAAAATTTTTTAATGTTTATTCAAAATACTACTTTAGCGAAGCACTGGCATCTTCCGCCTTTAGTACAGAACAGAAATAGTTGATTGTTCTGTTATTTTTATTTTATAATTCCTAGTGCACTGTGTGTTTTGATGGTCGCTGAGCATTTCTACTGTTCTGAAAGTAATAACAAAAAGTTTGGCTTGCCAAACTATACCATTCATCATAAGTTAAAAGTCAGAAACAATGATGAAAACCTGATAGTGACAATGCCGTTCTTTGTAAAATTTAAATTTCATTTGTAGACAGTTGACATATATCAATGTTTTCAAATACTTATACACTTTGCTTTCTTTATTGAGAATTGAATGTTCTAAATTTATATTTTCATTGGAGCGCGTTTTTCTAAAATACTTGAAATATATTAAGGAACACTCAGAAGATAGACAAAAAATATCGGTTCTGGCCAGATTTGACACTAAAATTTTTATAGGTTTACTTCACTTTTTAAAGACTTGTCATGAATCTCGAAACATCCAACTGCTGGTCACAATACTTCAAGTTAATTTTTCAGTACGAATTCACAGTGACTAATTCATGTGCTTCCTTTTTGTTTCATTTACGAAACTTTTGTTTGCAAATGAAACAAAAAGCAACTTCCCTATGATATTCTTCAAGATGTCCTCCAAGATGTTTCCCGCGGAACTTTCTCTATCCTCGTTGCAAACAGAAGTCTATATCAAAATACTTCGGAGTGCAGTTGCTGATTTTAAATATCCTTAACTTATAAGTCTTTTCTCTATTTTCTCTAATGCCTTATTGCCTCTATTTCTTGCATTTGATTTTTTTAATTTCTACAACTTTCATGTAACCAGAAAAAAAAAATGGCGAATGCAAATTTAAAACTTGTCTCCTGATAAATCTTCGATATCAACATAAAAGAAATTTTCAGTTCAAAACCTAAACTTTTCTCAGTTTTCAAGTAAACATTCGACACAAATTCCTTTACCAAAGCAAAGTATTCATGATACATTGGTATAACAATATCGTATATATAATTTGCTTCTACCGGAAAGAAAAACCGTAGTCCAAGGAAACAAAACAATACGAATAGTTTTCATATATCACATTAACCAACACCATGTGTTAGTATCTTTCAGTTTCTGCAGCTTTATTGACCATGTTTACATGTTGTGAGTTCCTTTTCCTTCCTATTCCTTTTTTGGATATTACAGTAGCAATTTAAAAATTGTCTTCTTATCGATCATTAATGTATTTCAGTGATAACTCGTTAACTGCTGGGAAACGAAACTTTTCAAATAATAATTCGCTGTGGAAGGAAGACAATCAGTTCATTTACAATGTCATTTCAGTGACACTATAATCCTGAGATTCTCTCGATGGAAATGCGGTGTCCATTTCCGCTTACCTTACAACGAGTTAAATTTGATGAATTTACCGATTATTTTTCCGACAAATTTACTAAATATGGGAGTGGTAATGTGTTCTTTTGAAAAATTTAATTTGAATTGGAGTGACAAAAGCTCTTCATCGTGTGATGTTTGTGATGGACACATTAGTGGTCAGCGGCGAAAATTCATCATACATCATACATCTGGATTTTATATAAATGAAGGATTTCTAAACTGGGATAGGACACAAACAAGTGATGTAAATGCGCTATTTCAAAAAAAAAATGAAATGAGGTAAGGGAAGAGTTATGAGGCTATTGACTTTGCAGGTTGATCTGGAAAGCGATAGACAATGGAATTGCTCTGAACTATGAATCTGTGCAGAGAACTGCGATCAACGATTGCAAGAAATTGGCGTTGGTCAGTCAGGCAATTATTACACATAATACAGGCAGTGCTGGATGTGATCATTGTATTCCTGAACCCCAATTTGTCATCCGGTGGTTCTTCATCCACTTCCTGAAATACTTATTGACCATGAAGATTGAACATAGCGGGAATTCACTTTCTAATGAAATCTGTCAGTTTTACCTCCCATACGTCCATGAGCTCCCCACAATAGATGTTCCGCTGAATTCCTAAAGTCCTACGGTAATTTAAATCCTTTTCAGTCGAATGGGAAGCGTTTTCCTTATTAAATTAGACTGAGTCTTTTGTCATAATGTAGGAATGTAATGACAGGATAACGATGAGGAACGACAAACTGTATATCCCAAAGTTGCAAAAAGTTCTATGCACTGTTATGAAGTTGGGTAGTCTTTCTTAAAAGTCACTGACAAAAAAGCAGTAAAGGGAAGGCAAGTTCAAGTCAGTGATCAAACAATGGATGACTTATTCTGGAGGGATTCATTTTATAGGAAATCTTAAATAAATCAATGTTAGCAAATTAATGAGAGTTCCATTATGATATGATGAGTTCCATTCCATTATGATATCAAGCCTTAATTTGTTTTCTTTTTTTTTTTCATACAACACACAAATTTTCAATTTTTTTTTTGAACAGAAATATGGAGCCAAGCGAAGAAAAGTCAAGCAGTATATTGTTTCGTGGGAGGAAACAAAATATGAAAAGTGGAAAATGTAAAATGTATCACAGCTGTTCGCAGTGGTGGACGTATTTCCGTTTGCAATATTTCATTACCTTTCCAAAAAAATTAAACATTCTCAACTGATATTAATTTGACTTAAAGAAAGAATGGTCAGAATTTTGAAAAAGAACGAGCAATAAAAAATTTTAAAGAAGTCGGACCATGCAGTAGCAGTAATTACTTTCGCTATTTTTTTAACCATTTCTAAATATTTTAATCCTATTATTGCTTGAGCAGAAATATGGAGTCAAGCGAAGAAGAGTCAAGCAGTATATTGTTTCGTGGGAGGAAACAAAATATCAAAAGTGAAAATAATTAACAGCTACAATGGTAATAATTAACAGCTACAAAATAACAGCTATCATTCTTGAAGAAAAATGAAGTCAAGCAATTTTACCAATTTTTTGTATGCTACACAATGATACAATCTTTTAATCGCTGCGAATTATTTTCTGGATTCTATCATTGTTTCTAGTATAAAAGTAAACAGTCATTTGTCAGATTTGGTATAAGATAGTCGTTTGTTGTATGGGTTATACTTATCGCAGGGGTGACCATACATTTTCCTCCGTCTAATCACAGGAATGATAATACGATAATTTCGAGGCTGATTGAAAGATACCAGTCTTTGTCGTTCCTCATACATCTCGACACTACATCAAAAAATTCGATTCTTGGCAGTGGACAAGTTAAAGTAAAAATTAAACTACTGACATCAATGAACTTACTTGGAAAATTATCCCTCCTATATGATGCTCTAAATCAAGTGATTATTACTTCCTTATATATAATAAAAAAATCCAGTTTGCCACCAACGAATAAGCAACAACCACAATAACTCATTTAATTATAGAAGCACCCCAAAATCTCGATGATAGAATATAAAAGTTCAGTTAATTGGGAAAATTTCGAAAACTCCTCGTAAACCTAATTGAAACACCTCTTAACCGCCCTCGATTTAAAGCTACTGAGGTCTCAGTGCAATATTCTCAATAAAACTAATATGACTACACGATAAGCACAGATACCTCCTTATTCCATGAACATTTTTTCTGCCGCACTTCTAATGTAGTGTTCAAAATTCAAATACAACATTTATCTTGATTCTCCAATACTAACAGTAATGCAACATTTCAAAATATACAACATATTAGCTAAGACTAGAAAGAACTGGTAAAAGAATTCAACTGCGAAACACATTACTTCTTGAAATTATTAAACCCGTAATTCTAATTACAAAGTGTAATCAAAATAATGTAGTAAAATGGTTCCGTATAAAAATCATGCTTTTCAGCTTTATTCACTTCCTACCTTAAAAAACTGACATGAAAGATTTCGAAAATATTGCAAAAGTTAAAATAATCACCTTAAAACTCCAATTCATCAGAACATTTTCATGGAGATATCATAAGAAGCATCGGTTGCTGTGCGACTGAGGTCAGATATATAAAAATGAAGAATGAATGTTTTTCAACATATTACAAAGTAACTGTACAAAGCGAGTTAGTAGAAAGGGAACAGCACAATCGCCAGTTTTCACCGTGCAAAACCATCACTTTGCGATACATTCCTTTCTACTAACCACCATTTTCGACTGAAAACAATTATTGCAAAAACATGATTACCAATATTTAGATGTTGTTGCATGTTCCTGAGAAGCGTGTTACATCAGTAACAGAAAAAAAAGTTTACTACAAGTGAAAAATTTGCTATAAAATGTTAGGCGACTGAAATTCATCCATCGATCCGACAGTTAATCCTACAGTCTGGACGATGAACATGAAACGAATAAAGGAAACGATAAACAGACGGTTCCAGAAAGAATGTGAGCTGCATCCCAGAAGGAAAATGACGTAACAAATTATATCAAATAATTAAGCTGTAGCGATAAAAATGTCTTACTGCTCGCCGAATTTAGCAGCAAATGACTCCAAAGTACAGCTGCGCGATCAACAATGAGGAATAAGATCACAAAATTCTCAGCAGGCAATGACTAAGAATAATGCAACAGTAAACTGCGAAAAGACCTCACTTCCTTAATTCTTTAATAAAACTAACGTTCCTAATTTCTCTCCGCACTAATTTGGTTATTAATCGGAAATTTTCGCAACTTCTGAGAGTTAAATATTATCAAAACAACAATTATAATAAGTTAAGTAACAGTCATACCTGAACACAGATCTTATCACCATCTTCGATATGCAACGCCTGAAGCATTTGACTTGGGAAACGTAACTCATCTGGGAATGGATTACCATTGTTTATGTAAAACAGCCGCATACGTTTCACAGGAATTCTTGTTAACTTTTCAAGCATGTGCATTAGACAAGAGACTGTTTGAGTTAAACGTATTTTCAGACTTGCATTGTATCTGAAAAAAATAAAATAAATTCTCGAGAGAGAGAGAGAATTCCAAGGAAGTGAAAAAGGCTCCCTCAAAAACTGTTGAAGACAGGTGATTATAGAACAATCAAGCGAAAACAATTTTGATCACCCAGTTTCTTCGCATATCACAGCAATAATAGCATATTTCTTCGGAGTCATATCAACTCTACATAGCTGTTCCACATGTCCATGTTGTTCAACTAATCTAGCAAATATTTTCGGCTTAGTTTCACGGACATCATAGTACCTAAAACAAGATATACAGCCATCACTATAGAATCCGACTTATTAACTGACTTATAAAATATCCAGTTCTTCGGAGCTCACTTCAGCACTACTTCAAAAGATATGTCACATTATATCCAAATCTAAAGTCACACAAAAAAATACCTCAAACATCTAAATTACTTTTCATCAATATGTTGTTAAAAAATTAAGTATGCTTAGCAGCTAAGTAATTTGGTGATATATACATATTTATTTATTTACTTGTTTATTATTTATTCATTCGTCAACTAATTAATTGGTCAATTAATTAACTGATCCATTTATTTATTCATTTATGTGTTTAGTTGTATCATGATGGTGATGATGATAAACAACAACTAGTAACAATCTACAGAATGTGACCAATTTTATGAATGTAGATGCGTGTTTTTCGTTTGTTAATTACCACAAATTCCATCGAAACTTGGGCTTCAAATAAGAAATGAAGGAAAGGATGAAGACAGTTCAAGATTCGGAGTTGTTGGATAAGACTGCTTCTGATCTCACATCATCCACCAAACGTTTATGCACAAAAGGAGCTAAGTGTCACTGTAGCGCATTCAACTTCAGAGGAAACTGTAAAAGGAACTAAGCAGCATTATAATGCAATGGAAGAAGAAAAGAACCTTATGAGAAATCTTTCGGACTGTTCCCTTTGCTCAGCCGATATAACTGATCCGTTTAGAAACTTCAATTGCGGAATGCGCCCAACGACCAGATGGAAATGTTCGTCATTTGCATAATCTTTCCATAAAGGAATTGCGATGATCCGCAAATCTTGTAAGGTATTTATATTCGCCAAACGTTCAATGGAACTCCAGTTATCGATCAGACATTGTTAATTAATCGACGAACACCATTCAACAATTAAGATTAT